GGGAACATTGCACAGGCAGATAACCATACGATCTAAAAGCTCTAGATGGTTTTATGTTAATGCCCATTTTCTGGGCATTATATATCACCATATTTATATTTGAAATGACATTATGGAGACTGCTCTCCGTTCTCTGGTAAAAAACGAAGGATTTGTTGCATAAAGACAAGCTTTATCGATTGGGGCCAATACAGTAGACGTCTTGTTTCAGGACCGAGAAGTGGTTTCCGAAACGTCATTTCAAATAAATTATAAAAAATATACATATATTTTGACATATGTTATGTAGATTATATGTTATAAGTATCAGGTTACTCTGAATTTTCTTTTGGGGTTTCGAACACGTGTCCCCACCCATTCATGTCGACCGGCATGACGTTACATGTTTAGCACACAGCATATGTACACAGGATGTTCTTAGTGACTGACAAGTTGCATATATCCACGGCTACACGACAAGTGAATGGGAGAGATATTATCAGGGTCCTCTTTCAAAGCAACTTTGAACTAATTAACTACAGGATGCGTTATTTTTTCCTAAAAAGTTGCTACTTAATCAGCTGTTGAAGAAAGTTCTACGTTTATGGAAGTGAAAGGTTCATTATCATGTTCACACATTCATGTCATTAAACCATTTCATGAGACACTTGAGTCTAGTTAACATCTTCATACATTTTGTTTTCTCTAAGTTCATTTAAATGCGTTCATTTCATCTAGCAGTAGACCTTCCAAGTGGGTTTACCCACATGTACACGTACTATGCGCCTGCCTTGTTCATCCCATCGTCCGCGATTAGCATCTAGTGAAGGTAAGATTCCGGTAATAAAGCTAGAAAATTAGGCCTGTCGTCAGTACAACACTTTAATTAATAATAATAATAAAACGTGCCCACTGGGCCTGCATGTCACGATGTAAACAATAATTTTCAGGTTATGGTGTTACATTATTATTATTAACTGGAGTGTTCATACGCAGAGGATATTGATGAAAGAAGAAAGGTGACCACTGGGAAGACCAAGGTGTAGGTGGGTGGACAATATTAAGATGGATCTTAGAGAGATAGGATGGAATGGTATCGATTGGATTGATCTGGCTCAGGATAGGGACCAGTGGAGGGCTCTTGTGAACACGGTACTGAACCTTCTGGGTTTGTAAAATGTGTGGAGTTACTTGACTACCTAAGCGACCATCAGCTTCTCAGGAAGGGCCGTGCTCCATGCATACTGGAGTATGTAACTTGTGTTGTCTGATATTATCCTAT